AACATGTGGAGGGTTAATATATTTAACATTGAACATGTGGAGGGTTAATATATTTAACATTAAACATGTGTGGGTTAATATATTTAACATTAAACATGTGGAGGGTTATATTTAACATTAAACATGTGGAGGGTAAATATATTTAACATTAAACATGTGTGGGTTAATATATTTAACATTAAACATGTGGAGGGTTATATTTAACATTAAACATGTGGAGGGTTAATATATTTAACATTAAACATGTGGAGGGTTAATATATTATCATTAAACATGTGGAGGGTTAATATATTTAACATTAAACATGTGGAGGGTTAATATATTTAACATTAAACTTGTGAGGGTTAATATATTTAACATTAAACATATGGAGGGTTAATATATTTAATATTTAACGTGTGGAGGGTTAATATATTTAACATTAAACATGTGAGGGTTAATATATTTAACATTAAACTGGTTTTTAACTGTCAGAGAAACACTTGGAGTCATCATGCTTGCTTTAAATCACCGACTTTGTACAATATTTCATTGATTTGTTTGGATGACGATATGTAATAATGAATAAACAGATTAGTGTCACAAGAAAAGAAATAAAGCATCTGTCTTTTGCTAATAGTTCAGGACAAAATAAATTGATCATCTTTATCTACAGTTATTCAGAACTTGAAGTGAACAATAAACAGATTTCACTGAGTCATTTTAAACACAAATGAAGCTGAAGATGTGAAGATTGATGGGAAGCATCAGAGGCCTCTGTAAGGTCACTGATGTCAGCCCACCTTGTCATCAGGTAGAGGTGGTCCCACTGATGATGATGATGATGATGAGTGAATCAGCAGCTCCTGATCCTGATGGAACCAGTTTTTCCACTCAGCCTTAACGTTTTGTTGTGTTTAATAATGAAAAGGAATCTGTTGTTTTTGTTCTCTTGATATTTGAACCATTTTAGAACCTGGTTAAATCCCTGGGGTCGGATTTATAAAACATGTGTACACCACTTTTTACACCAAGGTTGTGAATTATAAAATCCACACTTGATGTGAAAATGTGCCTCACAGCTCTGACCCATGC